TCTGCAGGAGTACATGGAGGTATGACTTTGCTCTGTGTTTCTCTTTGGTTCAGGAGAAGGGGTAAAATTTCATTGGCGGACACAAAACCCTTGTCGCATGATATTGTCTTGACTATCCTCTTATCTTTCAGCTGACTTCCTCCCTCATCATTGTTCCTCTCCTTCCGCATGGCACCCGCACTTTTCTTGCCAGGATTATGCCAGTCCTCAAACCAAGGCGATAGGCGCAGAAGTCATACATCGCGAGAGTCAGCTCATGAGCGACAACGCCAAGCGTGCGTACGACAGGAAACGCCGGCAGCTTTTGGAGGGGAAGCGAGACCTTTATTTTTGAGGCGTGGTCGTAGCGATGGCATGTGTCATTGATATAGACGAGAAGATCAGTAGGCGTATTGTACAGAAGAAAGGGGTGATATTTGGGAGAGATAACCAGACACAGAATTGAATGACAAGCACACGTGATGGACAGCGTGAAAAATTGCTCCAAGTGCTTTATTGAAAGCTTTGTTTGTTTCTGCACCAAGGCCCGTGCAGAATCCGCTTGCTACGTGGTTTGTTTTCTAAAATCATTCATTCTTTTCAAAATCTTGCCCCAATAAAGCAGATGCAACATATCGTTCAGCCTCTTTCCCGAGGTCTTATGCTCAAATCATGTTGTTTGCTCGGACCGGTCTGCGTAATGTGTATGCAACAATGCATGGCTCCGGGCACTTCCCGGCCTTCCCATTTCGCTTTCGTAGAGTTTCTGGATGCTGGGGTTGTCATGGCTTTTCCTCAGCGCGCTCTTCTCGTCCAAATTGTACACGTGTGCCATCCTTTTCTGCAGGACCAAGGCGTCGTCGCTCTTGCTCTGCCCACCTCCCCCAATGCAGCCTCCCCGGCAAGCCATCACCTCCACAAAATCGAATTGAGCGGCTGGATCCCCCAGCTTCATTCTTTCCAACAATGCCCGTGTCTCCGCGGTTCCATGCACGACACCAACACGTACCACCGCCCCTGGTCCTTTCCCATCCGGATTGGGGATGCAAACCCGGGAGGATTTGACCCCTTGCAATCCCCGAATGTCGCTCATTTCCATCTTTGGGAGTTCTTGTCCCCCCGAGGCCAATTCATAAGCCGTCCTCAACGCCGCTTCCATCACCCCGCCGGTCGCGCCGAAAAGGACCGCCGCACCCGTGCTCTCTCCCAAGGGGTCATCGGGCACTTGCGCATCCAAGGCAGGCAGCGCTATTTTCCGCAGGCGAAACAAGCGCCCGATTTCCCGCGTGGTCAAGACGTAGTCATTGTTGGGCACGGGACCGTCGATCTTGGATGAGTAGGTGGCCCCCCTGTCGGCCGGGCGGTGGGCTTCCCCTTTCTTCGCCGTGCACGGCATGACGCTGACCGAGACCACGTCCGCCGGGTCTCGCTCCAAGCGCGGCGCCCATACATTCTTGATCAAAGCGCCCATCATCCCCTGCGGTGACTTGCAGCTGGAGAGGTGAGGGATCAACTCCGGGTAGTTTTTTTCGACCAGGTTGATCCAACCCGGGCAACAAGAAGTGAACATCGGAAGGGGCCCTGCCCCCGGGTCTTTCCGCAGCCGCGACAGGAGCTCTGTGCCTTCCTCCATGATGGTCAAGTCAGCGGAAAAATTCGTGTCGAAGACATAGTCGAAGCCCAAGAGTTTCAAGCCCGCGACAATTTGCCCCATGGAGACGCGCCCGGGCGGCAGGCCGAATTCCTCGCTCATGGCCACGCGTACGGAGGGGGCCACGGCCGCGACTTTCACCCGGCTTTGATCCTCCAAGGCGTCTATCACCTGGAAGAGCTCGTGTCGCTCCCGCATGGCCCCCGTGGGGCAAACGGCGGCGCACTGGAGGGGGGCGGAAAGGAGAAGCGGTACGCGGGTCTGTGGGCAACTGGACGGCGCGTGCTCCGAAGTTCCCTTCGGGACGCTCCCCTTCGGGACGCTCCCCTCGGGTCATGTCCCCGGAGAGAAGATCCACGACCCACCGAAATACAACAGCCATTCACACACAGGAAACCCCCTCACTGTGCTACCGTTCCCCCCCCCCCCGGTACCTCGCCCGCACTCGATACACTTGGTCCGGTCCAACGGCAGCCCCCGCGTGGTCGACACATGCTCATCGACCCCTCGCCCGACGAAACCGATCGCCCCCACCCCTTGGATCCGCTGGCAGATCGCCACGCATCGCCCGCATTTGACACACTTGTCCGGATCGAACGTAATGGCATTGAAAGGATCCTCCTCGGAGGGCATCGGGCCCTGGCTGTCCGAAGCGGCGGCAATGCTGGCCCCGCCGTCCCATTCATGGTGGTGCGTGAAGGTGCGCCGGACTCCGGGGGGAGCGACGTCTTCTACCTGGGAAAGATGGAGGAGGCGCAGGAGGAGGGGGAGAGGTACGTGTTGGTTTTTAAATGAGCCGGCCTCTCGAAAGGAGTGGAGACACAGACCATAGAGTGCATAATCCATGTATTTTCACAGGTGCACGCGATACCACGGGAGGGCTGGTAAATAGCGAATCGAATTACCTGATACCGATACAACAAGTCTTGAAAAGTGCAATTCCCATCGGCGTCACATGTCTGACAGGTGTTGGGATGCTTGGCCCGTAGGAGCTGAAGCACGAAGCGTACATTGCTCAGCACGTCGGGAGAATGCGTGTGGATGCGACAACCCTCCTTGACAGGCGTCACGCAGGCAGGGACCAACTTTGTGACGGGCACAAGCTTCGTGACCCTCCTCACGTCCGTGGCCGACGCGGGGCCCACCACCTCCTTCACCCCGTGGTCGGTCTCGAGCTCCACTAAACATATGCGGCACGTGGCGCGCGCAGGAATGGAAGGGTGTGCACACAAGGTAGGCACGAAGGCCCCCGCGGCCCGGGCGGCTTCCAATAAGGTCGAGTACGCTGGAACGGCAATACTCCGTCCATTGACTTCCACGTTCACAAGCTCCTCGTGCGCCTCTGGAATTGAATTTGAGATGGCATTTTTTGGGGTGGGTGCGTGGTCGGAAAAAGCAGAGCTTCCGCTGCTTGCGGTGGGACGGGCGCGTAAAAATGACAGTCTGGGCCGCGCCAGGTTGACAGGAGCGAATGCAGACGATGTGCCGGTTCCACGGTGCGCAATAACCCGCTTCGGGAGACGCAGGCCGCGCATAGCCCCCTAAATCTGCATTTGTGTCCGTAGGATGTGTTGGTGACGGAATATTTGTCAGAATATAGCCTTGAAAAAAGAAGAAAGTAGAACATTCAAGCGAGGGTCCTGGAAACGAGCGATGCACGACATCCTTTTGAACCTGCTGGCTTCGTTTAAACTTCCTTTCCCACGACCCTTCCTTTCCCACGACCCGTGCCACCCCCGCCGGCAATACAGGCAATGCCCGCACGGCCACGGGCCATGCCAACGCAGCGCAAAGGCTTTGAAAGACATTTGTTAATACAGGCATCGCGGTCAGAACAAGCCCTTTGGCGCTGAGTTGAAGCTCAGAACGTCACGAAAGAAAGAATGCCGCCCAGTGCAGCGTTCAGGTGCGTTTCGTGTCACAACTGGCATGCATTCCTACAGTGTGCCTTGTGGCAGTCAGGTAGACAGGCATATATTTTGACCTTCGAGAAGGGTGGCTTGAACGTTTAGAGCTCTCGGGCACTCAACATTACAAGTAACCCCTCTCACCCATGTGCTGCCCTCCTTCCCCCCTCTCCATCCCGTCATCCTTTTTCAGACGTTTACGTACTCCATGTCTCTCGCTTCTTGCTTCTTTTTTTTCGTCGGCTACCGCCAAGGCGCCTCCCTCGACGGGGCTGCACCGCCTCCTCATCGGCTTGGTGGGGGAAATGAACGCGGGCAAGAGCACGTGTTTGAATGCACTCACCCAGCAGGCCACCTCCATTGTCGATGCCACTCCCGGCACCACTGCCGACGTCAAAGCTGCACTCTTGGAACTGCACGGCCTGGGCCCCGTGAAGCTCCTCGACACGGCGGGTATCGATGACGTGGGGGCGTTGGGAGAGAAGAAAAAAGAGCGGACCTACCGGGCCTTGAAGGAAATTGACGTGGCCTTGGTGGTGATTGATCCTTTTTCCAAGATCCTGTCGAGTTCCTCGTCCCAAAGGCCTTATGATGGAACGGGAAGGGAAGGACGGCGCCGTGATGAGGGAGGAGGTGGGATAGGAGAGGATATGTCCATAAGCGCAATGGCAACGCCATCGTACACAGCCTGTCAGGCGGATCCTTCCTCGCTTTCCCTCCTCTCTTCCCTCGTGCAGGCCATGGACCGCCGGGGACGCCGCGCCATGCTCGTCTTCAACTTGAAGAAGGAGAGAGAGGAAGAGGTGGCTCGGGAGGGAAGGACGAGTCTTGGGGGGGGGGGGAGGAACGGGCGGGTGAGGCAGGCGCTAGCTCTCCTTGGGTGAGGGAACTGATTAATTCCATCGAAGAATGTATTCGGAGGGATATCAAGGGACAAAAATCGTACTCGTTAAGAGGAGAAGAGGGAGGAGGAGGGGGACAAGGCGGGGGACAAGGTAGGAGGGGGAGGCCGATCGGCCCGTCCACGGCCAGTGCAAGCGCCCCGGTCAGAAGGAACCTCCCTTTCTTCACGACAGATGGCGAGCAGGAGGGCTCCCATTTCGTCCTCCTCCCTTCCTTCACGGCGGACTTCACAGCCCCCGGCGCGGGAAAGGCCCTGGCCTTACACCTCCTTCACTCCCTCCGCCCGTCCTCCCGCCCTGCCTCCGCCCCCTCCTTGCCCACCGAGGACCCCGAACCTCCCCTCCTCCCCCTCCAATACCATCACGACAAAATCGTCCTCCTCAACATACCCATGGACGCCGAGACCCCCCTCACCCGCCTCCTGCGGCCTCAGGCCCTCCTCCAAGCCTTCTGCCTCCACCACTACATCCCAACGATCGCCCACCGGATGAACCTGAGCAAAGCCCGGTCCTTCCCTCCTTCCTCGCCCTCCCCCTCCGTCTCCTCCATGCAATCACCCTACGAGGAGGAGAAAGCCAAGTTCCTCTCCCTCCTCTCCCTCCTCCCTCCCGGTAGCCTGGTCGTCACCGACTCTCAAGCCATCGACGTCGTCCACGCCTGGACCTTGCCGCCACTTGGCGGGGACGAATCATTTACTAAGCTTCAAAAGCCGGTGGACATTACCACCTTTAGCATCGTCATGATTCAGCACATGAGCGGGGGAAGGTTGGGGGCCTTTGTGGAGGGCATGACCCGGCTGGTGGAGATGGAGGAGGAGGCAAGGCAGGCCAAAGAAGGGAAAGAAGCGAGGGTGTTGATAGCGGAGGCATGCAATCATGTCCGGATCCCAGAGGCGTGTGACGATATTGGCACGGTGCAGCTACCTCAGGCCCTTCGGAGGGCGTTTCCACACCTTGGTTTCCATATTCATCACGCCTACGGCCGAGAATTTCCCTGGCAGGCTTTGCAAGACGGAAGGTACGACGTAGTGGTCCACTGCGGCGGCTGCATGATCGACAGGCAAAAGGTGCGGGCCCGCATGGAAGAATGTGCCGACGGGGGGGTTGCCACGACAAACTATGGCCTTCTGTTGGCATACGCGGCTGCACCGCAGGCCATGTTGAGGGCGGTACGTCCTTTTGGTGTGGAAATACCAGAGATATTGAGCAAGCATGCAACAATGGTGGAACAGGATGGAGATGTAGGGCGGAGGGCATCGAAATCCGGGTCGTCTTGCCTGAACCCCGTGTGTGCCTTGTCCCCTCTGATTGACATGAAAGAATGAGTGTAAAAAAGTCGCGATTTTACAGTGTGTTGCGCGCCATCGACGAATATACTTTACAAGTGAAGCTGCCTCAAATCTGATTTACAGCCAAAGCAGGCGAATTAAATGCACAAGCTTGTTTCGGTTTTCTTTTCCTTCCAAGTCGTATTCCTTAAATCAAGTAGTCGTATTGCTAATACCAAACTTTTTGTTTTAATAATCGAATGGTAAATGCTTCAAGGGGGCGGACCGTTTTTTTTAAAAAAGAGGTGTTTGGAAAGTAGGAAGACCTATGAATACTCTTGCTTACTTGATAGCTTGAAGATCGATTTGCTAGCCCGTTTGCTGTGTGTCATACTCCCTACTTTCAAAATTTTGAAAAATGGGCCCCTGAAGAGCAGCAGATGCAGGGAGGCTCGAGCTCGGCTTCCCGGTCGCCTTCGGAAGGGAAATCGACAGCGATGTGCGCATCATGCTAAAGTTAATACGCCGCCATGGACATACTGTTGGAAAAGCTTTGTTGCATGTACTTCATCTCGTCTCTTTCGCCCCTCCACAGGGCCACTAATGGGCCAGACTCTTTCCACCCTGGGTGGTATTGTGGGTTACAAACACGAGTATATCACAAAAGCTAATGGGGATACAGAATCACTGGTAACTGTGGTAGATGCATCACTATTTAGGCGGAAAATTAAGCTGCAGTTTACTATTGAGGATGAGCGCCGAGAAGGAGAGCGACATCCCGATGAACCTATCTCTGTCACAGCTGGCGAGGCTGAGGAAGAAAGAGTCATTCCGGCTGTGATTCAAGCATCTGCAGATAAGCATCCCATGCATGTCGCTTACCAAGAAGATGATGGAGAGGATCAGGAGCTCTCTCTGCCACCTATTTCCTTCGTAGATGAAGAGGAAGCGATTTATGTCGACAACACCAGCGGCCTCAATAATCCAAGCAGCTCTCAGATGATCACTGCTCGTCGTCCTAGACAGGTGCAGTCTACAGGCGTCCTCGGTACCGAGAAAGATGAAACCTCATCATTCATTCATTCAAGACATCGACCCAAGTCAGTCGGTCCCTGCAGTGGTGAGGGTGCCGCCCGGGTCTTTCTGAAGACGCTCTCCGATACCGTGGCTATCATCGGCTCGAATGGGCTTCAACAGGGGGAAATGAATCGGGTGCGACTTACTTTGCGCGACCAAGAGGCGACGATTCTCATTCCGGTCTTGCCGTCGGCGGTGGAGGGGGACAAGGAGATGCCAACGTGGGAGAGCGAGGAAGTGGGATATGAAACAAGCCAAGGGAAGGAAAAGGGGGATGAGCGTCGACGACCGCGTCGCTGCCAGTCGGTGACGCTGAGTTTGGAAGCGGAAGAGCCAGTCTCAGACCCGGCGAAGGCAGGAGGAACAGCCGGGCAAGACGAAGCAGAGAAGGAGGAGGGGCGTCTGAGCGTGGAGGTGGAGCAAATCCAAGGCTTTCGACCGCTGGGGCAGGTGACTTCCGACATTGCAGCCAGCATGACCACGTGAGTATTCGTGAGAGAACGGCCTTCGCCCACGCTAATTTCCCGAAACTTCGGCTTGCTAGCTAACCTCATTTCATCACGCAATGCCTGTGATGCCCGTGATGCCCGTGTGGAAAGACACTGCCCTTCCTTGTCGCGCACCTCACGAATGTTTCTTTGCGCGTCTATCTCCCCCTTTCCCTCCCACCAGCGTCACCACAAACGCCGAGCTCGAGGCAGCCGTCCTCCGCCTCTGTCAGGCATACACGAAGGACGACGCGAGTCCAACCGTGATCTCTCACAAGCGGGACATTAGGCTCATCACCGGCTTCCTTTCCCGCATCCTGCTTCCAAGGATCGAGCGCACAGAGGAGGATGGTCTGCCCGCATTCCGGTCAGGAAAAAACCTCGTCTCCGACTACTTGCCTTCGGAGATGGATTTCCTATCTCCCCGAGAATATTTTCGTCCCCGCTCTCCCTCCTCCCTTTCCTCCGATTCCTCTACCCACACGCTCATCCCGCTCCCGCCTCTGTCGCCATATGCGCATGAACCCATCATAGAAAAGTCATCCAACGGCCGCGCCCCTGCTACCCTAACTGCTGGCGTCAATTCCACCGGAGCTTTGCCTGTCTCCGATTTCGCAAACAAAAGTAAGGTGCCACCACTTGTGGAAACACATGCGGAAAGTGCTCCTAAGAATAAAGCTGTTCAAAATTCACCTTCGGCTCCTCCCAAGCCCAGAAAGACCCGGAAAATTCGCTTAAGTGCTTCCAGCGTGGAAGAAGTCGACACATCCAAGGATGAAGGAGGTGCCTTGTTCGACGACCTTTGGGATATGCGGTCTTACTCCTCCAACACAGCTTCCACCATTGCCTCCTCGACTCCGTCAAGTCGATTAAGGACATGTAAAGCTTCTCCCGTCCGGGTCGCACGTAGAAAATATATTCTGCCTCCAGAGGAGGATGAGGAACGGAAGGATATCTCGCACGAGATGATTCCCGATGATGAAGGCTTGTGGTGATGACCATTTTTTGAGAATTGGGATAATTTTCGCATTTCGAAATCTGTACTCCAAGATGGCCGGTGCGCCGTCCTCCTGCCATGCTGCTACATGACATATTCTGACGATAAAATCAATTTTGGCTGAAGACATCTGACCCAACTCGTAACCACATATCGTAAACTTTCAGCAGATAAAAAAAAGTTGTTTCTTTAATTTCTATTGTTGGCAAACCCTCTCGTTGTCTTATGCTCGATCTATGCTTCGAGCCATATCGTGGGGTGGGGAGGTTGTCAGCCGCTGGAAGTTGAACAAGATGCATGATGCTGGAAAAGATTGACTTGCATACTAGCCACAGCACGCATTTGTATGGGGTCTAAATATCTTGTAGGGCTGTAGATCGAACCTCAAACGACTTTCCTGCGTTACATCGGGGCATGCGCGTCAGCAAAAAGGTTGCTACTCGCTCCAGGTGGCTCATTGCGAGGGTCTTTGGCCTCACGTCCTTCCTACTGACACACTTCACGCAAACAGGGTTCTGGGCGACGATGGCGTTACGTGGGGCTGCAGTACTACTACTTCTTGTACTTTTGACGGACTGCATGCTGTCGAATGCGTTTTTCCATCCGACTTTTTCTCCTTCGTTGGTAGCTAAAAGTATCAGGCCCGTCAAGCCGTCCTTCTCAACTTCTCCCTCTTCGTCCCCTGTGCGCAAGCATGCGTTCTGTCGGAACACAGCTTCGTCCACAATATTATATTCTACTGAATCACGTGGTGAAAAGTTGGTCGGCGAAGACGCAGCTACTTTCAGTCTGAAAGAGCAGAATCTTAAGGTAGGCAGGCCTCAAAGTAGAGTCAATTGTGGCATGGTTTCCTCTGTTCGCTCTTCATTCTCAACTGCAACACATGTTTTCAATCACTTTTTTTCCAGGATTGGAGCATTTTCACTGTCCTCCTGGTGACTGTTTTGGGCGCACTATTTCTTGCTTGGATTAATCCTAGTACGGGCCTAGGCGACGAATACATTCAATTCATAGAGAGTGTTGTGCCTGGTCATTCTTCTGAGGCAGCCATTACTTTGCTACTGACCATTTTTGGTGTAGCACACAGCGGTCTGGCCAGCTTGCGTCCATGGGCTGAAGAAGTGATCGGTGCAAGGGTAAGGGAGGATGAGAATACAATGAAGACGATGTCTGACACTGCAGCTCAAACATGGTGGTGTGGGTTGGGGTGGGGAGTGGGGTTCATTGTTCTAGATCAGCACATTTCTTATCTCATCTTCCTCTTTGTATCTCGCAAAACCCTTGCACACTTAGGCGTGGCGTGTCGTCTTCGCGTTGGTGAGCCTCCCATTAGCGAGCTCTGCGATAATATATTTCATCAACCATCGATACGACGGTGCTCAACTATGGGACATAAAGCTTGTACCCGGTAAGCTTGTCATTTAACCTTGTGGGGCGAAGCAAATGATGGTTAGGGGACAGGGACACGTAAGATTTAGCAATGGAAGGGGTAAGGGCGTGGGAAAGATCTATATGCGAAACATGATTAGATCGCATTTCGACGCAAGAAGCGTCGTCTGTGTCCAGGTCCCGCACTTACGATTCAATTTTCCCTCAAAATAGGTGTGCATGAAATAGTTTGGATCATCTCCTTCATCTCCTTTTATTTCCTCTACCCGTCCACATTTAACTTGTTGGAGATTGCGGCGGTTGAAAAGCCAAAGCTGCATATGTGGGCCACGGGAATAATGCGTATCACTCGGCAAGTAAAACTTTACGTTTCCTGTCTGTGTTACTTTGTTCACGCAATGATCATTTTTCAAGTTTTCTGCGCGCCTTTTTACTAGCTGCTTGCTACTTCTTTGTACCTGTACTTATTCTTAAATAAACTATCTATTCACATCTTTCCATAGCCATCCCCAAATGGTAGGCCAAGCGCTTTGGTGTGCAGCCCATACCTTATGGATGGGAAATTCTTTCGTTCTCGTCGCATCAGCTTTCTTGATGGCACATCACGTTTTTGGGTACGTATAAGAATCGGTGACATTCACATGATTTACTTTCAGAGCAACTTGATTTATGGATAGCTTCATTCTTCATCATAACTTCCATGCAGTGTTTGGAACGGGGATCGGCGGCTTCGAGACAAATATGGCGATGAAGTCTTTGAAGCTTTTAAGGAACAAACATCTGTCACACCTTTTGCTGCCATTTTGGAAGGTCGACAAGTCCTCCCGTCCGATTACTGGAAAGAATTTGCGAGACTTCCCTATCTCATTATTGGAGTGGGGACTTTAGGAGCTTATCTGGCACACCCTTTCATGCAGGCAGGGAGCTGGACATTGCATTGGTGAGCTCGATGAGTTATGACTGAAAAGGCAACAAGCAATTATAAAGAACACTCGAAAACAGCAAAGGAATTGTTAGATTGTGTCTGATAAGAATATGTTCACAATCAAAATCGGGGGACCTAATAACAGTTTCTATCTGCAAAGATAATAAGCGGCAAATACATTTTCTTTTCTTCTTGATT